CTCCCTCCGCACCCAAGAATATTATGCTTCAATTTCCCCGCTCCCTTTCAACCACCGCACTACAGACCCCGAACCTCCGAGGTTCCTCCCTCTCGCAGGGGACCAGCTGTGTCCCGCAGCCGCGCCCGAACCGAGACTCTCAACGGGCGCGCGCCGCCGCTGGGCAAGCCCCCACCCTCGCCCCAGCGCGCCCCGCCCCGCCAGTCCGGCCGCGGCATGCCTGCGGCGGCCTCTCGGACAACACACACTCGCAAGCACACGCTCGCCCCCGGCCCCGCCATATTCCGGCAGACGGCGGCACCCAGTCCCGAGGGCGGCGGCGGCAGCGCCGGGCCCCGCGGTGTGCCGCCCCGCCCCCGCCCCGCTGGCAGCTGCGAACTGCGCCGCGGCTCCTCGCGATTCATGAAGGGGTGGCGGGCGGGGCGGCCCTGCGCCAACCACTAACGTCCTGTCACTGTCAGCCAGCGGCGTCGTGGGCCACGCTTGGCCGGGCGGACCGGGTGGGCAGGGCACGTCCCCTACCTTGCTCTGGAACGGGGACACGGGAGCACAGCAGAACTGAGGGGGTCTCCTCCCAGGCGCCGGGGACAGGGCTCGAAACCGCGCCCCTCCTTCCTCCTCGCCTGTCGCCACGCCCCCCTCGCACTCACGGACCTGAGGCACGGTCGGCACAGGAGGGTTTACCCCTTGAACGAGTGCCTCGGCGTTGCCGTCGCTGTCGTTGTCTTCGTCGCAGCTGCACCCGCCACGAACGCCGCCGAGGCCGGGCTTGAAAACATCTCCAGTCTCCGTCCGTCTCTCACCACAGCCTCCTTGCTCTAAGGACAGCGCCGCCCGGCGATTCGCTGCAGCGCGGGCACGTGACACCGCGGGCACGGAACGGGCGGTGTAACCTCCCCGCCCCCGGCGCGCACCCGCCCCTTCCGCCCGCCCCTCCTCGCTGCCCAGCTGCTTTTTCAGCTCTACAGAGAAGCTTCCCGAGCCCAGGGCCCGGGCCACCGGGCCGTACCAAGAGGGAGGCGGCGGGGGTGAAAGCCGGAACTCCTCCCTACGTGCTCTTCCCTCGCCCCACCCATCGGTGGCACCGCCCACACCTCCGCCGTCACCGGCCCGAGAAGGGAGGAGTAATCCAAGGGAAAGCAGGAAGCGGGGCAGGCGCTACTGTTACCCTCGAGCCTTGGGGCTCTGCAGTCAGTTTATGTGGCGACCATGGCTGTGGATAACACTGGAAACTTCGGGAAATAGCGGCGGCGATGATGAAGAGGCTCCACTTAGGGTATTCACATTTTTGCAGGGGCGGGCGGACGAGTTTGTAAGCTCGGATCTGGGCAAACGCTGCTGACCGGGCTTGCCGCAGAAGTGAGGTGTCCCTAACCTCGCGGCTGCCGACGGCCTGTTCAGCGTGTAGAGAGGGTGCGGCGGGTGCCCAAGTCCGCGCCGCACTGCGCCTGCGTGCTGGCGGGGCCGCACCTGGCGCTGGGGCCCGCGGGACCCGAACGCGTGTTGGGGACGCTGCGCGGCCACTGGGCGCCCGCTCCCTGCACCAGGTGGGGTCCCCAGTGCCGGTCCTGAAAGCACCTTTAGCGTGCACCTGCCTGCCGCGGGGACAGCACAGACCCCCCCACAGTACACTCTTCCACTTACACCCTCGCATGTCCTTTTTAGAGAAATTTAAATGCATTTTTCCACACCTGAGAGAGTATTTCGGAGGGAACTGACCAGGTAATGAAGAAAAAGTGCAGGAGAAAAATCTACCTTCTTGGCGTACCAGCAGCAGGTACTCTGACTTACTACAGGACGCTTTTTATTTACCTTGAGATTAATCTGTGACAGTTTCTACATGCCTTTATTATACTATCAAGGGCGTTACATAATCGGAGGGAAACCATTTTATTCTGACTTCCTCTAGGCGCTTTTTATTTTTACATCAAAGTTAATCCATAGCAATTTGTGCATGCCTGCCTTTAACCATGATAAATAGGTTACATAACTGGAGGGAAACCATCTCCATCGTTCCTACTGTCCTCTAAACTACAGCACCCATTTTTGATTTAATAAGTACATGTACACGTCAGTTACAGCAGTAGATGACATTTCAGACTTGGGAGAAAGCTAAATCCCAAGTTACTATATATAAACTTGCATTGAAGATAACTATTTTTCCTTTTCTGGTTCCTGATTTCTTCCACCTATTAGGTTCAATGCGAATAGTGAGAGAGCATCTTGTGACTAGAGATCAAATACATTTAATTTGGGTATTTATGGCATTAAATAGAAAAAAGTCACTAAAAATTAACCAACTCTGACATCTCAAGTCGTTCAGTTCTTTCACTATCATAGAAAGTAGGTCAGTTAGTATTGATGACAATAGCTATATAGAAGTTGAATGTCTCGTTTCATAATTGAAAGGCAGCTAATCTTGAATTTGCTGAAATAAATTAACTAGGTTTATGGCAGCAGCAGTATGCAAAACCATTTTAAGTAAAAAAAAGTCACTGAATACATGAAAGGTTTCTAAGACAACTGTGATTCAGGGCAGTGTTACTGACAATAGGACACTAAGAGTTCATTGTAGAAATTGCAAAAAAGTTTTAATGACACTCGTATTAAGTTACATGAAAAATTATAAGCCACAATTTGTTATTTGAAAGTTCCAAATAACCCTAAGGCAGACAAGAGGGACTAATTTCCTGTCACAGTGTGAAAGAGAAGTATGTAGGTATTAAGAAAATAATTCTTATGATAGAGGTCTTAAAAGAACCCTGAAGTTTATATCCAGTAGCTTTGTGACTGGTAACCTAAGTCTTTTAATTGTATAGCCCCATCTCTCCTTAGCTCAAGTCCTGTTATCCATCTTCAGCAGGTGGGTAAAATGTTTTCTTAATAGTACCAGGTGGACAAGGACCTCAAGTGTTAAATAGCACTACTCACGAAAGTTAAATATTATCACGTTTATTTAGAGTTATTACTAGCAGATACCTATTGATATCTGAAGTAGAAGCCATTCTCCAAAATTTACTTTCCAGCTTCGTTCTTCACACAAACACACTTTTAGTACCAACTAATACTGCCGTTAGAGCATTCAAAAAATCCTGTTTTTAGAAAGGGAATGTAATAAATGAAAAGTACAGTCTCACATCACAGCTTATTATATGAGTCTATACAGACCAAACACCTTTGCAGTTACTATTAAGACTCTTAATATGCAGGATTTAGTGGAGCAGTGGCCCCATACAGTTACAGCAAGTAATTCTGAGTCATCAGCTTTCCCTAGCAACTCAGTAGCTGCTCCAAAAACAAACAAAAAACAGGTATTAGATTTTTGGCTAATAGGGAGAGTGAAAGGTTGAACTGTTGGTTACTAAGTAAATTTCTTCCCCAAATATCACCCTCCTTTTTTAAGAACAGAGGAAGTGAGAAGATGAAATGAGGGTATCAGTGGAGGTAAACAAGTAATGCCTTCCTCTCCCTATTGGTTTGAGAAATAAACCGGGATACAGCTGTCATCTCTCAATATTGGCAAGGAAATTTTAATCAGTATATTCATACACATTTTGGAACCATCTTGGATTAGTGTAACAAAATTTTACCTTCCAGGTGTTTTTAAACCTAACCAGGAAACTGTCATTAAAAACCACTGTTCTTGTTTTAACACTGATAGGATTTTTTAAGAAATGGGCAAAAAAATTAAGCAAGGCACAACCTAAAATTCTAATACATACTAATGCAGTACAAAGTAAATGATGGTCTAAGAACTACAGAACATGTTTACATAATGGTATAACTGTATGCCTATGATGAAATGAATTTTTTACTTTAAAAATTTTACGTGATAGCCACTGCATATGCTTAGTGCATGACTTTTTTGCCCAGTATCTGAAACCTCCCCACTTAAAACTTTTCTAATTTTTTTATCTCAAAGTGTATGATAGTCTTACAAAATTCAATAGTATAATTAATTTAAAGGAATACTTTTGTCATAATTTTAAATAAAACAAGTTAACGGGAAGAAGATGGTTACTATGTACAGACTTTAAAGGAGTAAAAACAACTCATAGTAGTTGCCATGGGAGAAAAGGTCAAGAGTGCTGTAGGCTAGAAGGCAGGCATTTTTATTGTTTTAACTTTTTGCATCACTTGAAAAAATGACTGTTGTTTACCTTCTCAAGTGAAAGATAAAAATAATTTTTAAAGACATTCTTAATGTTTTTAAGCATCATAACTCAGAGAAAAGTCTATCACAAGAGCAAGGCCAAAACAGTGATTGAGAAATCCTAGAACAATTAAATTGGATTAGTTTAGAATCATCCTTGCATTAAAGCCGGCTTTTTTTTTTTTTCACCTTGCAAAACTAATATACTGTAGCTAGTTTCTTGGACACAGTATACAAAGTTATATTTTTTCTAAGTTGTAGTATGCTCTAGAGTGTATTTTTGCATATCCACTGATCTTTCCAACTCAAATTGTACTTCCAATTTCTTCACCCAATTAGTTTTTGTAATGCTTGCAGTATCAAAATAGCCAAGGATAATGTCAAGGTGTTTTGTACCTTCCTTCTTTAAAAATAACAAAACAATACTTCTAAAGACAACTACCTTATCCTCCTTAGGCCTACAGTCTGCTTGAGGTGTCACCAGTTGGAACTACAGTATCAGCTGTGTGCTATAAATACAAAAATGTTTAAAGGAAGTACTGTCATAAATAAGGTTTATACAAAGATGATACTGAAGAATCAGTGGCTATGGCAAAAGATGTGAAAGCACAAGGAACTTGAAATTGACAAATTTTACTTCACAATAACTTAGTATTATTGATAAAAGTTGAAAATGGATGATACTGAAATAGCTTAACTAGGTTATGGAATGTCTTCCTAATTAGACATAGATAGCAGAAGATTTTTAAATGGTGCTCTGAAGTTTTCACACAATACTTAGAGCAGTAAGTTGCTAGGTTATACTGAGGTATACACAGATTGAAATGAATAATATAAAACACTTATGTAGACACGAGATTCATATTTTATTTCTTCAGTGACGTATTTTACAGTTGAATATAAATTAAAGACCCACTTGCACACGAAAGCCAGGTCCTTTGGGTGGTTCAGTCAAAGACGTAAGACCCCCAGCAGGCTCACAAGAGAAGCGTCCACTCCTGAAAACATTAAATTGACTATTAATGATTATCACTTATAAATCTTTACTTAAAAATCATATAATTGTTACTTTACCACGTTCCTGTTAAGTGACTATTTCCAACGCCCCAACAACTAGCATGGATTATTTAATCCAAACACTTCCAACTGCTGCAAGATTTTTTCTTCCTGATGATACAAAAACTGGCTTATCAAAACTCACCATAAATATGAAAAATATAAAAATACCTAATACTAATTCCCATTTATTTAGCAGTATACATGTATTATTAGCTTATTTAATCTTCACAAAAAATGCCATGAAACAGGTGATATTGGCCTTATTTTACATATAGAGAAACCAAGACTTGGGGGATTCAGCATCTGCCCATGGATCAGAGCTAAGAACTGTAGCAAAATAACCCAACCTAGAGGACATTTAAAAAAATCATGTTTTACTAAACTAGAGCACTATGTTTACACCTGAATTTTTATTTAGATTGAGATCCACTGTGACAGTGAAGAGAAGGAACTATACACGTATACACCGTATTTGGAAAGAAACAGAAACTGAGTTCTGTAGGGAATTTGAAGATTTGAGAGGATGTCCTTTAAAGCAGTGAAGACAAAATCTTTTTGTATTTCTATTTTTTTAAGGGTTTATTAGGAGCAGTAATTTTTCAAAAACAGGTTCCAGGCTAGGGTGGCTACCACAGGCACAAAGAAAACAAAACAAAAACAAGTCCTTATGTAGTAATCTATGAGGAGAGGCAGCAGAGATGTAGAAGAACCTGTCTTTTTTTCACCCACACACATACTTTCCAAGGTAATCGCTCAACCTCTGCCCAGTCTGACCTCTATTACCAGAGTCCAGCTAAGCACCTACTACTACTTCACCTATTCCCTGGCTTTGTTAATTCACCTTGCTTCTGCTACAGATTTTAGCTAAACTATTTATTCAAATTTGTGTATTTTTACTCCCTCTAGTTTTGCCCTTCACATTCTGTTATCAGTCTTCTAAGTCTTTTTACAGCCCTGGGAAATCATTTTTTGTTGCAGGGACAAGAAAATGATACCACTTAATCATTTATAAGATCTTTCAAGCTACTGCATTACATAATGCAAATAACTAAGTGGTGTATTGTAATGAAGAAATGCCTACAAAGCCAGAAATAATGTTTGGATTATAGGTTCACTATGAAAACCAGATCAAAAAGCAGTCAGAGCTTAAAACTAATGTTGTAGGGTGAGTGGAAAAATGATATTTAACTTTAATAAAAAGGCACTTCATTTTATAATACTTTTTACGTTAACTAGTAACACAGGTACACCTGCTGCTCTTTGCTAATGAAATGAAATTTACTTTGGAGGATCTTCTGCTCCTTTTACTAGGTTCCCTCTTGTGTTTTAAGCTCAGCTACCGAACACAAGGACCAATTTAGGAAGATTATAAAACCTCAAGTCTCTGGAACAATAAATTGGAGAATTAATCATGTATACTGCCTGAACCCTTCACAGGATAATAGAAGTACTCTGAAAAGTAATCTGGTCTAGTTCCTAAAGTTTGTTCCATGAAATTACAGCCCCATGACATACTTTAGGGGAGAAAAAGGGTTTCACTGGTCTACTATGTCTGCCTACAAACTTTCCCCTTTCCCTACCATTCACAAAATGCCCATTAAAATATAAAGGTTATAAAATCCACCAGTAAGGCCTGCAAACTTTGTTTAATCTACTCATCATGCAACTTGTATCCGCATTCTATCTGTAAGCATGCCTCAGAACACTATATAAAGGCAGTGATCCTAGCCCTATCCATTCACCTGCCAGCCACAATTTATACTAGGGATTTCATTTAATAAAAGACAAAAAAATTATTTCCCCAATATGTTATGCTCAAAATGCCAATCCAATACTATTGGTATATTCATCATTTCAACTTATTTGCATTCTAGAAAATGTGGCCTTTCTGTACAATTTTATGGCTTAAAAGTACTTTTTAAAGAAAACCTACTTAATGAAAGCTTAGTGCTTCTCTAATATTGCTGAGATATATTCACCACTGTCCCTTACAGTATAAAAAAATGAAAGTGGCTTTACTATCTAGTTACCCATCAGCAACCACCTGTATTTTTTGTATGTATACTTTGTAACCTACCTATATATTTTTTACATCTCAGATATTATCCAAATCCCACAGAATTTTGCAAAATTTAAGATATCTTTATGAAACTAAATATGAAGAATTCATATTGGACTTAAAATTCATTTTAGCTAATGCATATTTAAAAACTTGTATCAATAATTTGAAAGCAGTTTTAGAAGTTTTTTTCAGTAAACTAATGGAAAATAATCTCAGCACACAATTACCTGTTTATTAGTGTCAAAATAAAGAAAAGTATTATTTTAGTATTTGTCTTTCTAGCTGTCATTTACCAAAAAAATTGAAAAGCAGTTCTGAACCACATACAGACATCAATTTTTACTAATTTTGGCCAGGGCAGACCTGATAGAGGTACTTAAAAATCAGTTACTATTGATCCAGTTTAATTTCTCTCATTACTCAAAGATTCTCAATGAACACTTCTTCGAAATAAGTGAGCAGAAAGCTTTATTGTAAATACTAATAAAAAATAATTAGCCAGCTTTGATTAATTTAAAAATAACTGTAACTGTGCTTTGGTCATTACTATCATTGCAATCTCTTTCATTGTCCTATATATCCAAGAAATCAACTTGGGGAAGAGGGAAGGTTCTGTTTTGATATGCTGGGAACATATTCTAGACATTAACATGTCCAAATACAGTCTTTACATATACCATTGGTGGACCCTATAGAATTACTGAAAGATAAATAGGTTTATCTCTGCTTGTTAAATAAGAAGGGATAAGTAGGAAATAAAAATAGGTTCAGAAACCAATAATTCTAAGAGTTTTTGGCTCAAAATCTATAGCACTGAAAAAAAAAATCCCTGTGGAAAACTATTTTACCATCACTGATGAGCAACATCCCTATTATTATTAGATAGTGAAATGCTGAACTGTGGTACTGGTACTTAGTTTCTGTTTATTAATGTTAAAATACAATGATGTTATATTACCTACTATATTAAAAATAACAATGAACTTTAATTTCACCCCTGGTAATCTCACCCAGATTTAACAATAACGGATGAATCCCCAATTCCTATTTCCAGCCCTAATCTAATCCCTAAATTCCAGACTCATATCTAACTTGCAGCATTCCACAATGGATGTCTAGTAGGCATCTCAAACTTAACATGCCCAAAACAACATGACTTTTCCTTCCCCAAACTTGCTGTAACCCAAATCTTCTCCATTTTAGGTAAAGCAACTACTGAGGTGCTCACACCAAAAAGCTAGAAATCACTTGTAATTCCTCTGTGCCACAACATGCACTAAATATTAAACTATTCTCCACATACCAACTAGGACAATAATTATAACAAGATCACTCATTATCCCTTACTGGAGATACTCCAACAATAGCTTTTTATTGTATTTACAATTCAACCCAAACTACTTATCTGGGCCCCTATATCTACCTCTCAGACCCCTTCTACCACTTTTCCTCCTTGATACCTCACAGCAACCATACTGTTGTCTTATGTTTCCTCCAGGACCTTAATACATCCTCTTGCCCTTCCCTGGAACATTGTTCTTTAGTTGCTTACACGGTTCCTTTGAGCTTATCATTCAAGTTATGGCTCAGATTTCACCACCTCAAAGAGGCCTCTCAGACTAAATTTATCCCCATTCTCAATCCCCTAATCCTACTTTATTTTTCTTTTCAGCATTTATTACTCAGATACTACACTAGCTGTCAATATCCATCATGAGATTATAAAACATGACAACTTTACCTTGTTCGTTACTTATATGTACAACCTGAAATAGTGCCTAGCACTCAGCATGCATCCAAAAATCTTTGTGAGGTGAATGGCAAGGGAACGCAATGAAGTAGGCAAAGCAACTCTGTGTGTATGGCAGGAGGTTAATATGATCAGTAGGGCATGAGAGTGCTCCTTCCGTAGATTTCATGAGGAAATCTACACTTGAGATGTACTCAAAAGTTGATAGAAGTTAAGGGTTTAAGTACAAATACAAGAGTAGCATAAACTTATTTAAAGATACCGGGTCTTAAACACAAGCTCTAAGACATAGAAAACGTTACAGACTCTTTTTGTGGGCAAGGGAGGCTACATTTGAAGCAAGATAAGTAAGGAATAGGACCAGTGAGTGGCCAAGAAAGATACTGTAATGTTAAATGACAAAAGGTTTCACTTCAGTAACCTCCAAAAAGGAGAATGATTCTTCACAATAGAAATGTTTTACCTTTAAAAATGTTAAAGATAGCCCAAGAAAGTGAGGAACAAGGAAGAGAATGCCAAATCTCTGAAAGCAGATTCAATTCAAGTGCTGAAAGAAGTATGTATTTCTTAGAAAAGAAAAGAATAGTCAATGGGAGCCAGCTTGCCTTTACAAAACTTAAGTTATCCTGAACTGTCCTCTTTTTCTTATTAGGTAGGGTTATTAGTATGCCAGAATGAGTACTTCTAGAATGCACCCTATAGAACCACTCATACTCTCTGACCTAGTAATCTGACTTCAGGGAATTGTTATCTATAACAAAAAGTAGGAAAACATTTTAAAACAGGAGTGAAGAGCACACAATAATTCTTTTAATACAAGAGAATACTATATGGCCATTAAAACCTACAAATATATTGAGAGAAGGAAAATGTTATATGATATCAGCAGGAAAAAATACAGTGATTTACAACTGTATAAAACCATGCAACATTTGCACCATTAAGAAAATTTTCATCTTTGTGAACACTTATATATGGAATAGGGTTTGTTTAGCAGGAAAAGTTGAGGTTCATAATTGAAAGAAAAGTAATTAGTTCATGACAACCACAGGATGGGAGCAACCTGGATAAAGTGTTTAAGTCAAAAAAGATTTGGCATTCTAACCGTGCCATTAATGGTATTATGTATCTGAAGTGAGAGTTGATGTAATTAGGCTGCATTATAAGAATCATAGTGTCTGGAACAAAGGAGAGAGTCCCACAATACTTAACTGCTCAGTTCATGTTTCAAATACCGTGATTAGTTTAAGTATCACATTAAAGTAATTAGCCAACTACAAAGCTTCCAGAGGAGGGAGCCCAAAACTATAACATGGGAAAACAAACAATTGTGGTTATAAATCTGAGAAAAAACACCTATTTCAAATAACTGAACAGGTGTCATTTAGAAGAGGTGTAAAAGTTATCTTGTTTTGGTTCAAACAGCAGAATTTGATCTTTAGGTGGAAATTAGAGGGAGATAGACTTAGGTCAATCTTCAATCTTCTGGCAGTATGAACTTTAAAAAAAATAGAACAGATCTCTATTTGTAGTAAATTTCCCTTCTCCATATATACTGAAGTAGATATCAGATGATTACTTGACAGAGTTTTGGAAAAACAATATTCTTATTTTAGATGACAAGTTCATTTAGATACTGTCTAAGGCTCCTGACAAGTCCTTTGAACTTAGGGTATAAAATTTTTTAAAATCCAGCTTATGTGAAAGACTAATTTAGGTTAAGCCATTGAAATTTTTTATATAGAAATAAAAGCATACCTTGGCCCAGGTTTTGGATTTTTGCCAGCCTTGAGCTCATCAATAATTTCTTCAATATCCTTAGGTGTCAGATCCTCCTAGGAGAAAAAACAAATTTTAAATAGTCACATTAAAAATGACTTCCTACTATTGAAATGTGGGTAAATCTCTGACATTAGTTAGTTTATTGCTCATGTGTTCTCTCAACTTACAAGTTAGTAACCAAGGTACCACCAACTGAGTAACTCCTATACTATGTGTTATGTGCTATGCAGTAAGAGCTGCAGCTAAAGAGGCAGTACGGAGTACAGCTCTGAAGTGAAACAGTTCTGCATTTAAGTCCTGGCTCCAATTCGTTTATGCAAATTACTAAGCCTCCCTAAGTTTGTTTCTTCATTTGTAAACCTGTATCAGAGTGTTTTTTGAGGAGTGAGTAAATATTTAAAACAGAACAGTGCTGTGGCTCTTGCTCAACAAATGCTATGTCCCTGAAGAAATAATGAGGTACAAATGACAATTAGCATCAGTAGTCATAACAACTTAAAAGTAGGTGTCTAATATTTACCTATAAAACTCTAATACCCTAGTGATATTTTCTTTCTTTCCCAGGTGAAATTTATCCTGTTTCAAAACTGACTTAATTTTCAGAGGGAAAGGAAAAAGCTTATTTTTTGGCACATTTGATTTTAATAATCCCCATTTTCAAACACAGCACCTGTGTAAAATTCTTATCTCAAGAATGGGTTCTGTTATTTAATATAACAAATACAATTAAAATAGACATGTGTTCTTCAGTGTAGCTGCACCCTAGATTTAGTCAAAAGACAGTCAAAACAGAATGGGCAAGATAAACAGAAAAATGCCTGAACTGTATTTCCCCCCTTCCCCCTCTAAAGCTGTTTAGTACTGAAGAAAATAGTTTATAGGACCTCAGTTACTACTATGCTAGAGAAATTATTATTCAATACTCTTATCTCCATTGCCCAGCAACATGGAAGGCCTTTAATACTTGTTGAATGATTAAACATTTATAAAAATGAAAAGCTGCTTTCAAACTGCTTAGGGTTCAACAGATACTCAACCTCATACCTAGAAGGAATCTTTAAACCCATCTAATGATTTTATACCCCCATCAACACTTTATTATGAAAAATTTGAATGCTATACATAAATACCCATATATTACCTAGATTCAACAACAATTTTTGATTTGCCATATTGGTATTAGGTACACATATAATTTATTTATTTTTTGGCTGTACCATTTAAAGTAAGTTGCAGGTATCATGACATTTCACCCCTAGTACTTCAGCAGGAACCTCCTAAAATATGTTCTTAATTAACAATGCACCACCACACCTAATTAACAATAATTCCTCAACTAAAATCAAATGTCAAGTCCATATTCAAATCTACCCAACATTTTCCAAACATATTTGATAGCTGTTCTTTTCCTAAGTAGGAGCCAATCAAAATTTATGTGACTTTCATTTTATCTACTGGTCAACTGAGATCCATAAAAACTACCCTGTGCCAAGGACAATACCACTACCAACTGGATGACTGTTTATCTATTGTATAAATCCATAAGCTATATTATATTTGACTATCATACAAAGCTCTAATTCCTGTGTAAATCAAGATTCTTACTATTACACATNAGAGAGGGTGCGGCGGGTGCCCAAGTCCGCGCCGCACTGCGCCTGCGTGCTGGCGGGGCCGCACCTGGCGCTGGGGCCCGCGGGACCCGAACGCGTGTTGGGGACGCTGCGCGGCCACTGGGCGCCCGCTCCCTGCACCAGGTGGGGTCCCCAGTGCCGGTCCTGAAAGCACCTTTAGCGTGCACCTGCCTGCCGCGGGGACAGCACAGACCCCCCCACAGTACACTCTTCCACTTACACCCTCGCATGTCCTTTTTAGAGAAATTTAAATGCATTTTTCCACACCTGAGAGAGTATTTCGGAGGGAACTGACCAGGTAATGAAGAAAAAGTGCAGGAGAAAAATCTACCTTCTTGGCGTACCAGCAGCAGGTACTCTGACTTACTACAGGACGCTTTTTATTTACCTTGAGATTAATCTGTGACAGTTTCTACATGCCTTTATTATACTATCAAGGGCGTTACATAATCGGAGGGAAACCATTTTATTCTGACTTCCTCTAGGCGCTTTTTATTTTTACATCAAAGTTAATCCATAGCAATTTGTGCATGCCTGCCTTTAACCATGATAAATAGGTTACATAACTGGAGGGAAACCATCTCCATCGTTCCTACTGTCCTCTAAACTACAGCACCCATTTTTGATTTAATAAGTACATGTACACGTCAGTTACAGCAGTAGATGACATTTCAGACTTGGGAGAAAGCTAAATCCCAAGTTACTATATATAAACTTGCATTGAAGATAACTATTTTTCCTTTTCTGGTTCCTGATTTCTTCCACCTATTAGGTTCAATGCGAATAGTGAGAGAGCATCTTGTGACTAGAGATCAAATACATTTAATTTGGGTATTTATGGCATTAAATAGAAAAAAGTCACTAAAAATTAACCAACTCTGACATCTCAAGTCGTTCAGTTCTTTCACTATCATAGAAAGTAGGTCAGTTAGTATTGATGACAATAGCTATATAGAAGTTGAATGTCTCGTTTCATAATTGAAAGGCAGCTAATCTTGAATTTGCTGAAATAAATTAACTAGGTTTATGGCAGCAGCAGTATGCAAAACCATTTTAAGTAAAAAAAAGTCACTGAATACATGAAAGGTTTCTAAGACAACTGTGATTCAGGGCAGTGTTACTGACAATAGGACACTAAGAGTTCATTGTAGAAATTGCAAAAAAGTTTTAATGACACTCGTATTAAGTTACATGAAAAATTATAAGCCACAATTTGTTATTTGAAAGTTCCAAATAACCCTAAGGCAGACAAGAGGGACTAATTTCCTGTCACAGTGTGAAAGAGAAGTATGTAGGTATTAAGAAAATAATTCTTATGATAGAGGTCTTAAAAGAACCCTGAAGTTTATATCCAGTAGCTTTGTGACTGGTAACCTAAGTCTTTTAATTGTATAGCCCCATCTCTCCTTAGCTCAAGTCCTGTTATCCATCTTCAGCAGGTGGGTAAAATGTTTTCTTAATAGTACCAGGTGGACAAGGACCTCAAGTGTTAAATAGCACTACTCACGAAAGTTAAATATTATCACGTTTATTTAGAGTTATTACTAGCAGATACCTATTGATATCTGAAGTAGAAGCCATTCTCCAAAATTTACTTTCCAGCTTCGTTCTTCACACAAACACACTTTTAGTACCAACTAATACTGCCGTTAGAGCATTCAAAAAATCCTGTTTTTAGAAAGGGAATGTAATAAATGAAAAGTACAGTCTCACATCACAGCTTATTATATGAGTCTATACAGACCAAACACCTTTGCAGTTACTATTAAGACTCTTAATATGCAGGATTTAGTGGAGCAGTGGCCCCATACAGTTACAGCAAGTAATTCTGAGTCATCAGCTTTCCCTAGCAACTCAGTAGCTGCTCCAAAAACAAACAAAAAACAGGTATTAGATTTTTGGCTAATAGGGAGAGTGAAAGGTTGAACTGTTGGTTACTAAGTAAATTTCTTCCCCAAATATCACCCTCCTTTTTTAAGAACAGAGGAAGTGAGAAGATGAAATGAGGGTATCAGTGGAGGTAAACAAGTAATGCCTTCCTCTCCCTATTGGTTTGAGAAATAAACCGGGATACAGCTGTCATCTCTCAATATTGGCAAGGAAATTTTAATCAGTATATTCATACACATTTTGGAACCATCTTGGATTAGTGTAACAAAATTTTACCTTCCAGGTGTTTTTAAACCTAACCAGGAAACTGTCATTAAAAACCACTGTTCTTGTTTTAACACTGATAGGATTTTTTAAGAAATGGGCAAAAAAATTAAGCAAGGCACAACCTAAAATTCTAATACATACTAATGCAGTACAAAGTAAATGATGGTCTAAGAACTACAGAACATGTTTACATAATGGTATAACTGTATGCCTATGATGAAATGAATTTTTTACTTTAAAAATTTTACGTGATAGCCACTGCATATGCTTAGTGCATGACTTTTTTGCCCAGTATCTGAAACCTCCCCACTTAAAACTTTTCTAATTTTTTTATCTCAAAGTGTATGATAGTCTTACAAAATTCAATAGTATAATTAATTTAAAGGAATACTTTTGTCATAATTTTAAATAAAACAAGTTAACGGGAAGAAGATGGTTACTATGTACAGACTTTAAAGGAGTAAAAACAACTCATAGTAGTTGCCATGGGAGAAAAGGTCAAGAGTGCTGTAGGCTAGAAGGCAGGCATTTTTATTGTTTTAACTTTTTGCATCACTTGAAAAAATGACTGTTGTTTACCTTCTCAAGTGAAAGATAAAAATAATTTTTAAAGACATTCTTAATGTTTTTAAGCATCATAACTCAGAGAAAAGTCTATCACAAGAGCAAGGCCAAAACAGTGATTGAGAAATCCTAGAACAATTAAATTGGATTAGTTTAGAATCATCCTTGCATTAAAGCCGGCTTTTTTTTTTTTTCACCTTGCAAAACTAATATACTGTAGCTAGTTTCTTGGACACAGTATACAAAGTTATATTTTTTCTAAGTTGTAGTATGCTCTAGAGTGTATTTTTGCATATCCACTGATCTTTCCAACTCAAATTGTACTTCCAATTTCTTCACCCAATTAGTTTTTGTAATGCTTGCAGTATCAAAATAGCCAAGGATAATGTCAAGGTGTTTTGTACCTTCCTTCTTTAAAAATAACAAAACAATACTTCTAAAGACAACTACCTTATCCTCCTTAGGCCTACAGTCTGCTTGAGGTGTCACCAGTTGGAACTACAGTATCAGCTGTGTGCTATAAATACAAAAATGTTTAAAGGAAGTACTGTCATAAATAAGGTTTATACAAAGATGATACTGAAGAATCAGTGGCTATGGCAAAAGATGTGAAAGCACAAGGAACTTGAAATTGACAAATTTTACTTCACAATAACTTAGTATTATTGATAAAAGTTGAAAATGGATGATACTGAAATAGCTTAACTAGGTTATGGAATGTCTTCCTAATTAGACATAGATAGCAGAAGATTTTTAAATGGTGCTCTG